ATTGCCCACTGATGGCCCGCAGGAGCCCCCGCAAAGGACGCACGGTGGGGGCTGAGAAGAGGGAAGCACGGTGGGGGCTCAAGTGATCACGACGTCGGCGACCCAGGACATCCAAACATATCTGACTCTGGCTTCGCTTGCAGGATACAAAACGAGCACGTGATGAAACGTTCAACCAAGCTTTGACTACAAGGAACACCAGGCACGGAATGAAGCCTCTATAAGCTTCCTTCAGCTCCACAAGAAGCCCCTGGGCGCACGAAAAGCGACAGAGGAACAGCTCTGGAAGAAACCGAAAAAAACGCGAGCCCCCATGCGAACCCGAGCGGCTCCTTATGTCAGCCGCTCGACTGTACAGCATCGACAATGCAAGCATACATTTCACAGGGTCCGCCTGGACCTCCCGTACATGGACATTAGATTCGAACCCTGTGGCCCAAGATGGCCCCCTGACCCCCCGAAATTCATATTGATGGCGTGACGAGGGGGGGGGGGCGTGAGTGGACAGAAACATTCGAACCCAAGAGCACCGCCCTTACTGAGATCAGCACTGATGTTTGGGGCGTGGGAGTGATTTACAATCTCCCTCGAATGTGCAAGGGTTCGAATAGATTGTCCATCTGCTGTCCCGAAGGCCCCGCGCCCCCCGCCCCGACCTGTCGGCCACACGCCACGCTGGCCCCCTGTGCGAGAGGGACCTCCGGTGCGCGGCGCGGCCTGCCCCGTCGCCGTGTGCGAGGCGGCAGCCGCGGACTGCGCGCGCAGGGGCTCGGCCGATCCCCCAAGGGCGCGCACCAGAAGTCGCTCTGGCGGAGGGTCGCTCTTGCGTGCTGCCGCACCCTCCGGCAGAGGGAGGCAACTGGTGCACGCTCCCTCTCGTTGGCACGCGCGAAAGAGACTGCGGTCGGAGTGCTGCTCATCCGGCCCGCCGCCAGCTTTTCGAGCACTGGTGGGAGGGGGAGGCGTTGACCGATGAGTGTGGCATGGGTGTTCGCTCTTTTTCCGAGGCCTGCACGTGCTGTCGAACACCGAGGAAGAGGAGGCGGAGGCGGAGGAGGAAGAGGAGGAGGAGGAGGAGGAGGAGAACAAGGAGAACGAGGAGGAGGAGGAGGAGGTAGAGGAGGAGGAGGAGGAGGAGAGGAGGAGGAGGAGGAGGAGGTAGAGGAGGAGAAGGAGGAGGAGAAGGAGGAGGAGGAGGAGGAGGTAGAGGAGGAGGAGGAGGAGGAGGAGCAGGCGGAGGAGGAAGGAGGAGGAGGAGGAGGAGGAGGGGGAGGAGGAGGAGGAAACGAGCGTAAAAGAAGGAGGAGGAGGAGGGGAAGGAGGCGGGGGCTGACGTTTCGAGCTTCGCACCCGCGGGGTGGTGTTAAGCAGGGAGGCGGGGGGACGGGGGAGGCTGGCGGGGGGGCGGAAGAGGAGGTGGACGCAGAAGAATACGTCAGGATAGGATATGTGATAAAACGTTTGGGCCTACTGGCCCCCAGATCTGCGCGGGCTTCCCTCTCGGTTGCCCTTGCCCTTGCTTTGCTTCCAAAGGGCTTTTGTCTGCGGCACAGTATGCGGCCGAATAGGATCAGACGCCGGGCAGGCTCAGAAGAGAACCCGTGGCTGGGCGCGCCTACCAGGAAATCTGCACGAGGACGAGTGCGTGCATCAACTTCAGCAGGGCCATCTCGCCAATAATCACGGCGAGGGTCTCCGTCAGGGTGTCCTCCGTCGTCAGCACGGGGAAGACCGTGGCCTGCAGCACGTCCAGTACGTCGAGGCCCCGTTCGCCAAAGCAGGGCGCGTGCGACACAGGCCCATCCCGCGCAGCCTCCGCGCACTCCTTAAAACCATCAAACGTGAGACCATGAAATTCGAGGTAGACGCCGCTGCGGAAGCTGTAAGTGGAGGGCATGACGCTGAAGAGCCACCGTATCGCTACGCTCACGTCGTCCTTCCTGGTTAACAGCGTGCCATTGAACACCATGTTCATGATTATCTGTAGCATGAACACCATCGTGCCCATCGCCATGCTCGTGAAGAGAGTGCCGCACAGCTGCGCCACTGTATCGTGCCAGCCAACATAGCAGGAGATCAGGAGCCAGATGTGGAAAAAATTGCCCCAATTAAAAACCGCCGACCCCTCGGGGTTCCCCGGCGTGCGAAAAAATGGCGGCAACTCCGAGGGGGTGTGGTTCGCAGAGGGTGCGGTTTGCCACCAGCACCCTGGGGAGAACCCTTGGTTTAAGTCGGGCCTGTCCCCCTACAGGGGGATTTTCGACGAACCCAAAAAAATACTCCAAAAATAACCAAAAAAAAACAAAAAATAACCAGGGGACTATTTTTTGGGTATTTGTTGGACCTTTGGGAGGCATTTTTGGGGTAATTTTTGTTTTTCGTCGAAAATCCCCCTGTAGGGGGACGCGCCCGACTTAAGCCTGGGGGGGCGGGCGCAGACCCCGACAGAGCTCCCCGCCGCTCCCCGCGGAGGGTCGACGAGGACGGTGTCGTGCCCCCCCGACCCCAACGGCGCCGACCGCAAGCCACGCCCCGCGCAGCCTCACCCTTGGCAAACGCCGAAACCCGCCGCCGCCGTCCTCCTCCGCCTCCTCTTCCTCCGCCTCCTCCTCCTCCTCCTCCTCCTCCTCTTCCTCCTCCTCCGCCTCCTCCTCCTCCTCCTCCGCCTCCTCCTCCTCCTCCTCCTCCTCCTTTTACTCCTCTAAAAAATGTCCCTGGCCCTCCCCACACCCCTCCCCCGGGAGCCCGGTCTGACCGATGTCGAAGAGGGGAAGGGGGGGACAAGAGTGCCAGCGAACCTCTGGCCCGGAAAAGCTCCCCACGCGTGCCAAGATTGCCCCAGATGGCCCTCGGACGGTCGAAGATGGCCTCAATATTGTCACATGTGGCGGATTCTGAAAGCCCTGAACCCAAAAGATTGCCACCTCTTGAGAAGCCGAATATTACTTCCGCCGGCTTCCGCCGGCATCCGCCGGCAGAGGCGGCCTAGCTTTACTTCCACAGGCTTCCGCTAACCTTGCGCCGCCCTCCGCCGCGGAAGCGGTGACAGCTTCGATCCTCGAAGGCGAGGCCCTTTCTGGAACGCCTCATGTGGTCCCAGGTCAGCTCGAGATGGATTCACGAGGACCCAAGAGGCAATCAAGACTGCCCAATACCACCCCGAGAGAACCTCAGGAAGGCCACCAGAAAACCAAGGCAACGATTCTCAAGCGTCTATCATTTCAGTTCCTCGCTCTCGCCTTTCCAAACGTCCAGGAGCCCAAGACGACACAGACACGACTGTCGCCCCCGAGGCGGCCCAAGAAACCCCCAAGACGCCCCCTAGGGAGCCTCAACACGGCCCAAGAGGGCCCCAAGACGGCTGCAGACTCGCCCGGTGTGGCCCCAGGAAGCCCCTGTAGGCCCACGAGACGCCTTCAAGAGACCCCAGGAGACCCCCAGAGGCCTCCCAAGAGGCCCCCCGAAGGCTTCCCAAAAACTACTCCGAGTATGCCCTCAAGAAGCCTCCAAAAAGGAAGAACGGCACTGCCGTCTCCTATTCTCCTTCGGGGGCGATTGACAGGGGGCCGTCACGAGCGAAACCTCGCGCCCAAGTGAAGAGCTCGCCCGCGCCGTGTCTTTCAATAAAGATGCATACGATGATGCTGATGATGAGAACGATGATGCTGATGATGAGGTGGGGGAGGAGAAACAGGAATATGAATAGCTGGAAGACGGTGAGGTGAAAGGCATTATCCTGTTCCCTCCGCCTCCTCCTCCTCGCCCTCTCCTGTCACTTGTCCTTGTTCCCCCGTCAATGCTTGTAAGCGGGGGCTCTTGCTTCCGTCACTAAGGTTTGGATGGGTCCGCCGAGATTCGCCACCTGTGGCCGCCCGGCTGCCGCCAACTTATCAGGTGGGTCCGCCGAATCTGGGCCGCGTCGCCACCCGTGACCGCCTCGCGGCCGCCTCGTTGCCGTCCGACGGGGCGGGTCCGCAGAGGTCTCGCCGCGTCGCCGCCAGGAGACCACCTCGTGGCCGCCTCGTTGCCGCCCACCTGGCGGATCCACCAAAAGGTTTCGCGGTCTCGCCGCGTCGCCGCCCGTGGCCGCCTCGCGGTCGCCCTGCCGCCGCCCCACTCGGGAGGCCCGCCGAGGCTGCGCCGCTGTCGCGGCCCGTGGCCGCTTCGCTGCCGCCCGGCTCGCGCGGGGGGTCTGCCGAGGTCTCGCCGCATTGCCACCTCGCGGCCGCCCCGCTGCTGCCCAACACGCTTGGGCTGTGCTGGCCCTTCGGGGATCGTTTCTGCTCATTGTGAATAGACCACCACATACCTTGCGCCACATGCAGTGCACCACGCACCGCAGTGGTTACGCCACATACCGTGGCACCACACAGCTTCCACCACACAGCTTGCAACGCATAGCTTGCACCATATAGCTCGACAATCCACAGAGCAATACCTTACTGTTTGGGGTCCGCGCTGGCAAACATATAGAACTCCTCCGTGTCTTCCCACCCCCCCAGACAGGTAGGACGGGCAAGGCGTTTCGCATCAGAGTTCCTAGTTCCTCACCAGTTCTGGTCCTTCAGTGTGAAAGATACTCTCGCCCCAACGCCGCACAAATTCGTGTTTAAACACATCCAACAGTTGTAAAAAATTGGGCACAAGTAATATTCAAATTGGGTTCAAAATTGGGCGTTCGCTTGGGACACCTGTGACGCTTTGGGCTGGATGCTTGAAGACGTTGTACAACTTCACGGCTTGAGGGCGCTTGCCCCCACGAGAAACAAAACAAGTTACCGAAAGTGCAAACGGATGCCAGAGTTACACAAACGGAGCGATCCTGTTTCAGAACAGGGATCTCACTGGACACATCGTTGACCTGCATGATCATACCTTTGGGCATCCCGTTGTACGCACGTACTCGCTGGAAGGACACAACGCATTCCTTTTCAAAACGGGGCCCTCGTCTGAACTCGTCTGAACGGGAGCTTCGTAGTGCGCTACTCTTTCGAGGGCTCACATCTTTCAGTGGAAAGGAACCCTCGTAGGGACTACTGAAGAGAGGATTATGGACGGAAGAGTATATTGCAGCAAGGTGGCACTATTGGGTTTACTCTGGTAGACCTCCTCATCATCATCAATATACCTATTCCTTCTCATTCCTCCTTCTCCTCCTCCGCCTCCTCCTCCTCATCCTGCCTCTCATGTCCCCCTCGGACTTGCCGTAGTGATGCCCCCACCTTCCCTGGGTGTCAGGCAATTCCGAGGCAACTCCTTCTGTCCCTTCTACACTCTCCATCTCCCTCCTCCTCCTCCTCCTCCGAACTCGTCCTCTTCTGCCACCTCCTCCTCCGAACTCCTCCTCCTCCTCCTCCTCCTCCTCCTCCTCCTCCTCCTGCTCCTCATCCTCATCCTCCTCATCCTCCTCCTCCTCTGCTTCCATCCTCCTCCCCCTCCGGATGTGTCCAGAGGTCCCCAGAGGTCTTCCACACGATATCCACTCTCTCCCTCGGGGCCTCCAAAGGTCCCCGAAGACACCCGGAGCACGCAAAAGGCCACACACAGTCGAAAGCATCGATCCTCCATCCCCCCAGGTGCATCCATTGTGTATCCTGGCGCGTCCCAGGTGTATCCCAGGTGCGTCCCTGGTGCATCCCAAGTGTAGCCAAGTGCATCCCAGGTGTTCCCCAGATGTGTCCCAGTTGTGCCTCAAGAGCCCAGTTCTTCTCAGGACACGTGGTCGGGGAGGGGAAGACGTCGCGCTGATCACGTCACGGCGGGGGTGCGCTGGGAACGCCAGAGCATGCCCGCGAGCACCGCGCCATGCCTGCGAGCACTACAATAGACTGCGATGCGATTGCCGCGACGTGCCTGAAATCGCCGAAATGTTTGTGAAACACGCGAGCCCTGCGATCACAGGCGATGTACATGTGGGCACAACGACGGCCAACGAGCGAAGCCACGTTCGCGAGAGCACCACAGCGCGCTTGCGTTTGGGAATGCGTCAGGACGGCTAGCATTACCATGAAGGCGTAGACCTGCTAGGAATGACTCGGCGCACTGTAGGGGATTGCTGACGGTAGCCACGCACCGCGGACGTTGCACCTGCGCGCAATAAAAAGCGCGTGCACAACACAATGCGTGTTCACACCACAGATTGTGATGCATCTGCATTCGTGTGCACCACAGCGCCAGCGTACATCACAGCGCATATGTTCCAAGCAATGCTCGTGTACACCACAACCTCTGCGTACACAACAGTGAACGCGCACACCATCACCATGTGTACACGCAGCACCTTCTACATGCGCCACACAGCCCGTGTACAACAAGATGCCTGCGCAACCACAGCAACCGAGTGCACTACAACGCCTGGCGCCCGCATGCACCAAAGTGAATGTGTACACAACGAAGCAATTGTGTGCCACGCGGCCAAAACTCCCAAAAATCGCGGTGGGCCCGAACTGGTCATATTCAATTATAATTCATTTTTGTGATAACTGATTCTTGTGGCCCGAGGTACGGTCCACCCTGCATGTTGGGCCCGCGCTGCCCGCGTGCACCAAAGTATGTACAACGCGATGCTTATGTAACCACAGAAGCCGTGTGCACCACAGCCCCTGACGCCTGGCGCCTCCGTGCACCACAGCTCCTGCCAACGGGGCCCAGAATCTGGAAAATCGTGGTGGGCCCAAAACCTGTGAAACTCAATGCGTAAGCCATTTGTGCTTATCGATTGTTCTGGCCCGGGATACGGTCCACCCTGTGTACCACACGTAGCATGTGCAATCACAGCAGCGGTGTGCACCACAACGCCTGGCGCCTGCGACCATCACAACGCCTGCGTGCACCACAAAGTCGTGTGTTTTAAAGCCTGGGGCGCGGCCTCTCCCGTTTCTCTTGGACCCGCAACTCACTCGTGCACCACAACGCCTGTGTACAACACTACGGCTGCACCGCAGCAGCAGCCGCGTGCACCACAGCCCCTGGTGCCTGCGTGCACTACAAAGCGCGCGCACGTCCCCAGGGTCCCGATGGGCCCCAAGCTCTAGAAAATCGTGGCGGGCCCAAGCCTGGCAAATTCCCAGATAGCTCCTTGGAGAGCTGAGAGGGTTTCAGATTAAGAAGCCGGAGCCGCAGGGT